GGCCAATTATGAATTTGGTGGGTGACTTATTCATTATTGCCTGTAGGCATGCATGTAATATGATACCTGTAAATGTAGGTAATCTTAAACCTCCCATACTCTAGTGCCAATCATAATCCCGTTATGGTCATGACACAAGATGAAGATCAATCTAGCTGACTAACATAATAAACAAACCTCTCTCCTTCGTAGAAACACTCAGGGAGCTTCCTTCACTGCTTTGAGGCAAACGTGCACACCTATCTCCAGTATTAAGATCCCAAATTTCAACCTTTTGCAAAGTAAAACACAGAAATAACACGTAGTCAGGCATCCAAAAAACTACGGAAAATTAACTCAGAGAAAATTTCATGTTTTGCATATTCACCTGAGAAGACTGTTGCCCTGCCACAGCCACATATTTAGCTCCTCCACCATGCATTTCTTCTGTGATTGTGAAGACATTAATCCTCAACGTAAACTTGGAGCATAACGCAAGAATTTAGAATACACAGGTAATCAACATAAAAGTGCTCTCAATATAAAATTTTTTTTTTTTTTTTGTGATGGAACTTTTACTATAAGATATGATATTAAATTTAGTTAATTAAGTTAAATAAATGTTGAAGTAATAAAAATATATAACAATAAAAAGTTAACTATTACAATTATTTAGATAATATTATTTTTCTAAAAATTATTTTCATGATTTAAATTATTTTAAATACTTATTTTAATTTAATTACTGTATTTACTTTATTCAATGTAAATATCAATTTAAAATTATTATAATTTAATTTTAAACAATTATTATTTAAATAATTTATAATACAATATAAAATTATTTAATCATGAACTAAAAGCATAGTTTTAGTTTAAAAATACTAAATTTATTAAACAATAAAACATAAAGATATAAAATATACTCATTGAGACTATTATTTTCCTTCTGCAGCACAAAAGATTTCTCAAATGCATCTTTTTTCCAGCTTCTAATTTCATTTCAGCTCAGCAGCTTCTGTTTTTATCCAAAATTACTTTTGTTTTTTTAGTGTTAGATCAAGCTTCTGCTTACTAACAGCAAAAACCAGAAGCAGAAACTAGACCAAGGAGGCACTTAAGAGGCAAGAAAATGAAAAACTTGGGATTTGTTATGCCCCAAAATGCAAAGATTCACTGGTTTACATGTCTTGTGTCTTGCTGCATGACCCAAGAGAAACAGCAAATGGGAGCAACTTCAGCTTCTTACTGAAACTCTTAGGTTAGTCAGAAGTAAAAGATAGAACTCTCTCATATTTTTTGGTCTATCTTTTTAGGTCATGATGTACATGATTGAGAAGGCATTGGATTAATCATGGATCCCTTGATAGATATGTAACTATTTTGTATACGGGTGGTACCCCCTTAGTATCTTTGTGAATAACATTTTCAATTTTATTTCAAAAAAGAAAAAAAAGATAGAACTCTCTTTCGCATAGGCTTTTGGATTATCTTATTAAACAAAGACTAACCTATCTGGTGTATTCCCACAGAACCCACAAGAAACAGACAACAGAAGCAACTTCAGCTTCTTCTAGAACTCTTGATTAGTCAGAAGTAAGAATAAAATTCTATTAGGCTTAGACTTTTTTATCATCTTTGGCTCAAATTAGATTGTATTTGATTTGGTCTAAGAAATTATCTAAATTACATCCTAGTAAAGTGGAAAGTAAGTTGTTGTAGCTTCCTAAATAAGCACGCCAAAGAATGAACAAATCATATGGTAATTACCACCAAAAGCTTAGCATTTCTATAGAGATCAAGAGCTATCTCTAATTTGCCCTAAGCATAGATGGTCAGGGCCATACAAACAAGCTTCTCATT